GTGAGGCCATTCTCTTTGCATGTTGTCCTTTGCAGTTTTCTTCCAACTGAAGGACTAGGACACACTAAATGAGATTCTGAATCTCAATTAAAGAAAGTTACAATAAAATCCATTTTGTTTCTCTTTAAAGTTGCAATGTACAAGTTACCCTTTATGTGTGCGTGTGTGTATAGTGTGTGTATAGTGTGTGTGTGTGTGTGTGTGTGTGTGTATAGTGTGTGTGTGTGTGTGTGTACAGTCAAGCTCAAAATTATTCCTACTCCTGGCAAATTTTGACTTAGTTACTTTTATTCAACCAGCAAGTTTTCTCTTGATGGGAAATGAGATGGGCATCTCCCAGAAGTTAATAAGACGATGTACAAGAGGAAGAAATATCAGCTCTTATTTACATTTGAACAAAAAGTGACATGTCCAAAATTATTAAACTCTTACAATCTATGGGAAAATCCAAAGTTCTATACCATTCCAAACAGCCCAAGCTCTTCTAAAGCATCCTAATTACCTTGATTCATTGGGAACAGCTGTTTTAAGCAACTGAACAGGTAAAAAAACAGCAGGTCTTTGCATTTGGTGTGTGAACAATCATGACTAAGACAAAGGAACTCTCTGAGGATCTGCGGCTGTGAATTGCAGCTGCTCAAAAGTCAGGAAAGGGCTATAAGCTCATATCTAAATGTTTTCAAGTTCCAGTGCAAAGTATTATTAAAAATACAAGACATTCCACACTGTGAAATATCTCAGAAGAGGTGGTCAGAAGCCAAAAGTGACACCACCAAGGCCATTCATGTGAATCTGGGCTCTGCTGGTGGCAACATCTCAAGGCAGACAATCCAACGGACACTACATACTGCTGGTTCCACAGACGCAGACCAAGGAGGATGCTACTTCTCCAAAGAAGGCACACAAAAGCCCACTTGGCCTTTGCAAATGCTCACCTGGACAAAGAAGATTTTTGGTATTCCGTTTTATGGTCAGACGAAAGCCAATGGACAAGGGAATCTAATCACAGTAGAGAAGTCCTATTGGCAAATTTGAGGAAAAGTCAGTAAATCTTTTTATTTTTTTATATAATTTGGGGGTGCTGATTCAGAATATTTTGTTTACCAAGCTTGACTTTGAGTTCTAAGCTTTCTAATTTGTATATTAATAATATATAATTTATGACTATATTATCCATCCATCCATCCATCCATGTTCTTCTGCTTATCCGGGGTCAGGTTGCGGGGGCAGCAGTCTAAGCAGGGACTCCCAGACTTCCTTCACCCTAGACACTTCCTCCAGCTCCTCCAGGGGGACCCCAAGGCGTTCCCAGGCCAGCCCAGAAACATAGTCCCTCCAGCGTGTTCTGGGTCTTCTCCCATTGAGACATGCCCAGAACACCTCTCGAGGGAGGTGCCCAGGAGGCATCAGAACAGATGCACTCCCCTCAGCTGCTCCTTTCCACGTGGAGGAGCAGCGGCTCTACTCAGACCTCCTCCTGTGTAGCTGAGCTCCTCACCCTATCTCTAAGGGAGCGCCCGGCCACCCTGTGGAGAAAACTCATTTGGGCCTCTTGTATCCATGATCTCATCTTTTTGGGCAGAGCTCATGACCGTAGGTGATGGGAGGGACGTAGATTGACGGTAAATCGAGAGCTTTGCCTTTCGGCTCAGCTTCACCACAACGGTCCGATACAGCAACTGCATCAATGATGATGCTGCACCTGTCCACCTGTCACAATGTCACTCATGAACAAGACCCCGAGATACTTGAACTCTTCCACTTGAGGCAGGGACTCTCCACCCACCCGGAGAGGGCAAGCCACTTTTTTCCAATCGAGAACCACCGCCTCGGATTTGGAAGAGCTGATCTTCATCCCAGCCGCTTCACACTTGGCTGCAAACCGCCCCAGTGCACATTGCAGGTCCTGGTCTGATGAAGCCATCAGGACAACATCAGACACATGTAGATCTGGTCCAGTGTTTCCCGGCCAGAACGAAAACCACACTGCTCCTCCTGGATCCGAGGTTTGACCATCGGCCGGATTCTCCTTTCAAGTCCCTGGCATAGACCGTACAGGGGAGGTTGAGGAGCGTGATTCCCCTGGAGTTGGAACACACCCTTCGGTCCCCCTTCTTAAATAGAGAGACTACCACCCCCGGTCTGACAGCCCAGAGGTACTATCCCTGACCGCCACGTGATGTTGCAGAGACGTGTCAGCCAAGACTCACGACATCCAAAGATTTAAGATACGGATCTCATCCACCTCCGAAGCTTGGCAACAACCTCAGTGACTTCAGCCAGGATGATGGACGAGTCTCCCCCCCCAGTCTTTGCTTCCTCCTTGGAAGATGTGATGGTGGGACTGAGGAGATCCTTAAAGTATTTCTTCTACCGCTTGACAATTTTTTATTTATTTTTTTCTAAATGGGATAAAGGTAACAAAGCAAATCACATATGAAAAAAATTATTTTAATTAGTGTTAAACTGGAAATCAAACTAAGAATGGATATGAATCCAACAAATACAAAGCAAATTTATTTTCAGCATTTTTAGTTTAACAGAAGTTGCCTCTCCAACTCTAGGAAACACTAACCATTAACCATTTTCCTTGGAGTCACTGCAAAGATCACAAAAAGTCACACATTAGGATTTTATGTTGTGTTTAATGTGTGCACTTTTATGTTGTGTTTAATGACTGAGATAAGGAGTTTAGAGAAAGAAGTGCTAGTTTAATTTAATTATGGCTGTATTCTTAGTCTGCCGTGGTAGTATTCTGGCATGGGTGATCTGGGGGGTACTTCTACATTTGCAGCCACTTACACAGAACAGGCCAGCACTGTGACAACTGCATTTGCTTGTCTTACAACCATACTTGTCTACAGGTAACCATCAAGTTGCAGGTTTTTGGGATTGTATCAGTTTGGGTTCCAGGTTTCCAATGATTACGTTCATCCCATTTCCTCTACAGGTGATAGAACTGGATTTGTTATGTTCGATTGTCTCCATACTAGAGCTTGGTAATGTGCTCTTCTAATAGGCCATAAGCAGCTGCACTTTAGAGTCCGACATCTGAAGAAAAGAGTGGCTCTTGTATCTTTGCGGCAGAAGCTCAGTTGGTCAAAGCGTTGGTCCACTGATCTGAAGTTTGGCGGTTCAAATCCCGCTCTCAACATAAACATCATTTGTTGAGCGGTTAGATCCACTGACTCGCAGGTAGTCGATAGCGAACAGTGATAAATGGCTTCCAGGAATAAAAATGAGCAGTCACCTAGAATCCAAACCTAGTAAAAATCTGAATCAGGAATTTGTTTCATTTCTGGTGATTTCATTTGGTGATTTCTATCTTAGTTATAATATTTATTATATATATACAGTATACTGGTATTTGTTTTCCAGACTTTTTATGAAATCCATTCCATTAAAGAGAACTTTAATTTGATTAGCCTGGCGTCTATGCTAGAATGCTAATTAGCATTCTTAAAACTCAAAATTCAGCTTCATAAACAAAATATTTGGAATCCGCACACTCAAATTATGGGAAATGGCATGTGTGTCATTTCCCCAAATTTGCCTACAGGACTCTTTATTAAAGTATTAGTATAGATAGTAGTATAAATTATTCTCAGTTTAGTAATTTTAAGCCTTTCTTGTCACTTGTATTATATCATTTCTCATCAGTTTCACCAGTTGTAGGTGGTACAGATGATAGAGGCCACAAGAGGCTGTCAAGACTAGCAGTTGGTATTTTTAGATCTTTCAGGTGATCTCACTAATGAGACAAAGCTCTGAGGAACTTGCATCTTATCTCCACTCACTGTGCAAGCATGTGTATGTGTGTGCGTGCGTGCGTGTGTGTGTGTGTGTGTGTGTGTGTGTGTGTGTGTGTGTGTGTGTGTGTGCGCGCGTGCGTGTGTGCATGTGTACCTGTGTATGTGCTTAGCTGTGTTCCCTGGAAGAGGCTATTTGTTGAATTAGAGGGGTAGTGTTGAAGTGTTCTGTGATTAAGGTTAATCCTGGAGTCTCTGTGATGTAAGAAGTGCCTTTTCCCACTTAATACCTCTTGTGTACTTTGCTGTTGATATAAAAATAATACTATTTGTTTGATGGGTATTGAGGAGTAGTAGTACCCTCAGAAAACATGTATGGCCATTGTTGACTCATATGCCATGTGAGAGAGTGCTGTTTGTGTGGACTGTAGTTGCTATTGGAGTGAAGGGGAAGTGATGCGTCACATCTGGACAAGAGATTAAGCAGAGGGGAAGAAGTGACACTTCTTGATAGTGGGCATTTCAGCCTGAGTAAATGATGAATGCTTTGAGTCTGATTTTAATTTTTTTGTATTAAATAATATTGTACATAATATTACCATTAAATACATTTAGGTTATTCTGAAACAAACATTACAGCATAACTTGTAACCATGTTTAATTACTATCTTTGGGGAGTAAAATTTTTTTGTTTAGGTGTAGATACTTTACTGTAAAAATTCTTATTCTTCACTGTGGAAGGGCACAGGAGAAAGAGCGGGTGACCTAACAAATCAACAGGATCTTGTTAGCTGTCTATTTTTGCTAATGCGTCATGTAATCAGGTGAAACCTTTGGAGTCAATCGTGTCCTGGACAACACCAGGTCTTATCTTTCCTAAATCCTGCTGATACATTTGTTTTAACTTTGGTACATTTAATTAAGTAGCTCAGTGGCTTTAATTTAGTTACATACAGCTATACCGTAATTTCTCCATTTTACTCTGTTCATTGTGCTTGTATTGCTAGTTACAATAACTTTACTATAGCAAGTGTCTCATGCAGCTTGTTTTGAATTTCTGATATGTTTAACTCATAAATCTGCAAGGAGGGCAGAAAAAACATGTGAAAGTTAAGGTCATTTTACACTGATCATGCCTTTAGTCAAGTAAAAACATGTAACTCTTCTAGGGCTGCAGTTGATTTCAAATATTTATTGTAAATACACACTTCGTAGCATAGCAGTTTTAAGATGTATCTTTCTATTTTTCAGGCTTCCTGCTGTTCAAGGACTTCTGTTTGAATGAAATTGATGAGGCAGTACCACAGCTAAAATTCTACGAAGAAGTAAGTTTTTCAAGTGTGCCGTTAGCGTGCTAGTTGCTGTGTGACAGATTATAGCCATAATCCTTAATTCAGATTTATCCCGGGCAGCTCTCTCCGTAGTTGTTTTGTGGCATTCTGATGATCAGGTGACTCTCATTTCAGATTAAAGAGTATGAGAAGCTGGACTCCGAGGAGGAGAGGCTAAGCCGGAGCCGACAGATTTACGATGGATACATCATGAAGGAGCTCCTGTCCTGTTCACATGTGAGCACACACTCAGCCCAGACCCGCATTATGTGAAAAAGAGAAAAACATTACACAAAGACACAATAGAGGACTAGAACACATGTTCTATTTAGATGTTTGCGTTTTCCATGTGGAAACGATATATAGTTAATGTTGAGATGGCAAATATTGTTGAGTTCCGATTAGTGTGTCAGACATAAATATGTGCGAAAACATGAACTTTTACATAAAAACACTCTTGGTCATTATATTATAAGTATGTAATATACTACACTATTGAAATTTATAAATATCAAATACAGGGAAAGGAATTTATTATTTATAACAATATTTTTGCCACCAAAATCTGAATTCAAACTATGGAAATCTCTGGTCCTGGGGTATGAAGGCATGTTTTAACCATCTTAAAATTTTCCAAAATCTTATGTTTTCTCAGAGCTAGCCTAAAAGAAGGACAAAAGGGACCCACTAATGCAAATATTCCTTTCAGTTATATAGCATATGACTAGTTTGTAGGGAATCTAATGTTCATTATGCATTTTTTTAATGGCCTTTACAAACTTTGTACTTTGTTGTATATGGAACTCTAGTTAGCATTTTTAAATAGCCCTTCCTTCTTCATTTTTTCTACTACTCAGCCTTTTTCTAAGAAAGCAGTGGATCATGTACAAAGTCATTTGGCAAAGAAGCAAGTTCCTCCAACTCTTTTTCAGGTAAAACTCACAAAAAAAAAAGTGTATTATATATATAAATATATTTAAAAAAAAAAATATATATATATATATATATATATATATATATATATATATGGCTGGGCAAAACTAAAACATATTAATTGCATTAATCGCATGTTATACGCAAAACCAATTAATGAATTAAAAAGTAGTTTATAGCGCACTGTTATTGGAAATGTAAATGAAAGAGCCACACATTTGTTGCGCAAACAGTATTTCTTTCAGAGGGGAACCCTCAGAGCCTTCAAGGTATTCTGAAGGCTCAAGAAAAAATATTTATATTATACTTATTTTAATGTAAATATTTTCAATATTTTTTATTCCGTGAGTAATAAACACTACTACTAGTAATAATTTCTAGATCATTGTTATAAACCTTGACTGATATTTCTTGGGAATCAAAGGGTTAATATAATGAAATGGAAATGGACCAATCACAATTTTTCTTCCAATGGTGTCTGGGTAGATCAGTGACTCCCCCTGCAGCACTGAACTAAAACACTGGAACTGGAACGAAGTCTGAGACTGACATTTGTCTTAGCCAATCATATTTCACTGAGTTATGGGCGAGCTCATATCACAAAATTTTCTGGGCCTTCACGAAACCCTGTAATAGCATTATGTAAGCGAGACCGCAGCGACGAAAACCGCACTGGACGCCTCTACTTGGACACCTCAGGGGCGTCTGGAAGAAGGAGAAGACAAAGACCCATGAATCGGATTGCGTAGCCCAGTTGGAGCTAGGAGCTGGTCCGACCTGGTCGGTCAGAAAAAAGTGAAGGAAGTAAAGGAAAGACGTCAAACATTATTCTTTTCTTCATACTGTCAGAGAGCAGCTCTCATGTGCAAGATTTCCCCATTTTGGTTCGGGTCAGGTTCGGTCGTAGTAGGCTTCGTGTTGTCCACAGACTCAGGTCACTCTGGTGCTCGGTGCGTAAAGACTAAAGTAAAAGTGTTAAAGTTGCATTCATTAAATCAAAGCCTCCCTCCTACAGTGTCCAAGGGAAGACTTTTCTCTCAGGGTTGGGTCATTATTTCATCCTCTGTGTTGGTCAGACTGTGTTCTATAGAAGTCTATGGTCGCGGTGTGGACAGTGGGAGACTGCGTCCGGGAACGTGGCCGCGCTCGTGCACGAGTTTCAAATGTATAATATTGTGGAAAATAATGAGTGGAATAAACAGCCCTTCTCCATGTTTTGGCAAACAAAACACTTAAATGCGCAAATCTGAAGGTAATTCTTCTATATACGTGGATTTTCTCATCAAACACTTCCTCAAACTCTGTTCACTTCTGCTTCTCTCCACGAGTGTCGCTTTTTCCCTGTGTCTCCAGACTTTGCATAGTGCTTACAGGAGGTCCCGAGTTGGCGTAGAGTTAAGCAAAGCGCCTCGCCTTAGTCGAGGTTCATAAATACCACGGTTGGCGTAGAGAGCGCATACGCAAGGATTTTTACGTAACCAAGCTTTATAAATGAGGCCCTTGGTCTTGGGCTCGGCCGCGGGCTCTGGACCAGCCATGGGCTCTGAGCTTCTACGGGCTCCAGTTCAAGGGTCTTTCTCATTCTTCTCCGTCCGAATAGAGGTGTCCAGTGCGGTTTTCGTCGATGCGGTCTTGCTTCCGTTATTACAAGGTATTCGCGAAGGTCTGGAAGATTTCGTGATATGATCCCGCCCATAACTCAATGAAATATGATTAGCTCAGACAACTGTCAATCTCAGACTTCGTTCCAGCCATCGACGGCCCTGCAGGTGTTTCTTTAGTTCAGTGCTGCAGGGGGAGTCACTGATTTACCCAGATACCATTGGAAGAAAAATTGTGATTGGTCCATTTCCGTTCCATTATATTAACCCTTTGTTTCTCAAGAAATATCATTCCAAGTTTATAACAATGATTTAGAAATTATTACTAGTGTAGTGTTTATTACTCACTGAACAAAAAATATTGAACAAATATATTAGTAGTACAGAAATTCATTCAGTGTTTTTTCTTAAGCCTTCAGAATACCTTGAAGGCTCTGAGGGTTCTCCTCTGAAAGAAATGTTGTTTGCACAACAAATGTATGGCTCTTTCATTTACATTTCTAATAAAAGTGAACTATATGTTACTTTTTAATTCATTAATTGGTTTTGCGTATAACATGCGATTAATATTTTGTAGTTTTGCCCAGCCCATATCTATAAAATATATATATTTATTTATATTTATATTTATTTATTATAGAATGAGATGGCATGTTTCAATTTGAAGTGTAAATGCTTTTGCGTGTGTGGTTTTATTTGTCTGCAGCCATACATTGTTGAGATCTGTGACAGCTTGAGAGGGAAGATCTTCCAAAAATTTATTGAAAGGTGAGCCAGCTGCAGACATAGGCCCAGATTAGTGGTTGTTATACAGTGACTGAATTTACAATAAATTATTTCTCCCTTTTAGTGACAAATTCACTCGTTTTTGCCAGTGGAAGAATGTGGAGCTCAATATTCACGTGAGTAGTAGCTTTTGTCACTGCTTATGTAAACAAGAGATGCAACAGTGTCTCCTCCTCAGGATTCATTAAATGTTTATCCCAAAACCAACCGTGAGGGGTCATAATGAATAGCATATATATTGTCTACCTAAATGCAATTTTTTATTATCAAAATGATGTATCTTCTGACATACATAGTATTGATGGACTGTGTGTATAAATTGCATTTTGTTGATGCCCTTTGTGTTTGCTCCTTCAGCTGACCATGAATGACTTTAGTGTTCATCGGATAATCGGCAGGGGAGGCTTTGGAGAGGTGTATGGCTGCAGGAAAGCAGATACAGGAAAGATGTGAGCAAATATTTTTAAACACTTCTGAACTTAACAAAAACTTTTACTAATCTAGTCATTTGATATTTTTACTTAATCAGGTATGCCATGAAATGTTTGGACAAGAAGAGAATTAAGATGAAGCAAGGAGAGACGCTGGCACTCAATGAAAGAATTATGCTCTCACTTGTTAGCACAGGGGTAGGTTTGTTACAATTATCAGTTGATTGACAAAGCTTGCACTTTTTCAACTAAAATGGTTTCATTCATACATTATTGCAGGATTGCCCATTCATTGTATGTATGACCTATGCCTTCCACACCCCTGACAAGCTATGCTTCATACTGGACCTTATGAATGGTAAATTTTCGAAAATACACTCACCAGAACTAACACTGTATGAAAATGAGAGCAACTACAACAAAGTTAATGAGTTTGGTACTGTATGCTGATTAGATTTTATAAAATTTGTTTCATACACTGTTTTTATCACACATACAGTGAGTAGATGCATTTATCTTTTTAATCTTAAAGATCTGGAGTGTGTTGAGGTTTCGCATGTTGAACAAATGATGCTGTTTTTTATGTTCAGGTGGTGACCTGCATTACCATCTTTCTCAACATGGAGTGTTCAGTGAGAAGGAGATGCGTTTTTATGCAGCTGAAATAATCTTGGGACTGGAACATATGCACAATCGTTTTGTTGTCTACAGAGACCTCAAGGTAGAGAGAAATATTTTTATGATTGATAAATATCATAGTCTCTAATGGACTTACTTATCTTGAATCTCTTCACTGTTCAAATTTCATACAAGGTGTTTTTAGTGATCCTGTTTTTTTTCTGTTCCCTTGTTTTGAGTGGTTGCCATAATAGTAGATATATTTTGCTGTAAGTCAGGGAGCAGCTTAGGGCTTCAATAAACAATCTATCTTAATGCAGATAATACTCAGAGGTTGAGCTTTGAGTGAAAGTGAGTGAGGGATGTGGTTTTGCCAGAGTGTAGAGCATAACCAGGCCAGCAGACTCTGTTCAGGCCAACGGAAATTGTAACTTAAGTTTTGAATTAACATGCTGTCCAACAGTGTTCCCCGATCTGAGGGTGAATGTGTCTCACATTTTGTATCAGCTTGAACCTGAGTATCCTCCTTTGCCTCTTTGTACAGCCAGCTAATATCCTGTTGGACGAACATGGACATGTTCGTATCTCCGACCTCGGACTGGCTTGTGACTTCTCTAAGAAAAAGCCCCATGCCAGTGTGTGAGTAGACAATAAGCCATATTCATTATTGATCAGATTAAAAACAAAAATCGTGTTTGACAAAAGTTTTGCCGCCTCATTGGCAGAGGTACACACGGTTACATGGCTCCAGAGGTCCTGCAAAAAGGAACGGCGTACGACAGCAGTGCTGACTGGTTCTCTTTAGGCTGCATGCTCTTCAAATTGCTCCGGGGGTAAGCAGCCTTTTTGACCCTCCACACTGACATCTTTCTCTGCTCACCACTCCCACTGTGTGCTGACTTCCAGTCTGATTTCACACCACTTGTGCCACTCTCAGAAACCCTCTTTCAGTTTGCTCTAGCCTTTTCTCCATGTCCCTTTTCTCTCAGTGCCTGTTGGGTGTGTTTGATCTTGTTTTGTGTGCAGCAGTCTGTGTGTATTTGTTTGATCCAGAGTGTGTAAATGCCAGAGGTCTGAGCCCAGTAGGTCATGGAGCATTGAGAGATGTAGGGCGTGTGTGAGAGGAAGGTGAAAAGAGAGGAGAGCATGACGTGTCTTTCCATTGATGTTGGGCTCTGTCTGTTCAACACTTAAAAGAGGACTACAGTATAGGACGTTGCTTAAAGGTTGGCTCACAAATCCATCTGAAAGCAGAAAACCAGTTTACCAGTTTACATTATACTATCATATATATTCTATATGACAAAATATGCAGTAAGTAAAGAATAACACACTGCAGAATTAGCTGTGCAAATAGATGAAGTATTATTGAAGTGATACGTCATTTATACTCTGGTTATTTTGAGTGGTTTACTTGAGTGGGCTGCTTGTCACACCAACTACCATGTACTGTGGTGTGTATTTGTTCAGTGCAGCACAGGTTCACGGGGATCACACAGTAACACAGAGAAGTACTCCTCTAATTACCTGTAAACCACTCCAGACCGTTGCAGTGTCCTTACGGATTCTTTCTGTAGACCCACACCTCCCCCGCACACAATGCTCTGTAGCTGGTGTGACAGTACGCATTGCTATTAATTACTCTGCATTTCTTGCTGAACCCAAACCGCACCCAACAGTGGCTGTTCTAGGATTTTTCTGAAACAGGGACCATTAAGGGGCCACATGTTATATTCAGGGACCAAGTACAGGGTACGTCCAAGCACAGAAATGATTAATTTTGTATGGCGCAAATACATTCATAGACGGTAAAAAATAGCCCTCCACAGGTCTGTTTCTTCTCCTATTAAGTTGCGTGGGGGTGGAATTGCATAAGTGATCAATGAATTCTCCGGTTGTTCTTTTCGTCAGTTGATTGACAGAACAGGGGCACTTCAGGGGCCAATCAGATTAGAGGTGGGGCCAGGACCCTTGTGGCCCCTCATTCTAGAACCACCCCTGGCACCCAACTTGCTTTAGGTGTAAACCTGGCTCAAGTCACTTAAAGTGACAGGTAATTTGGTACTTAAACACTACATATGTTTTTTTTTTCTGAATACATAAACTGGGTTATCTTGTTTTATCTCCCTCATATGAATGTTTAATTAGCTTTTACACTTTGCAACACGTGTGTCTCCCCTAGTATCACAGAAGCTGCAGTAACTATACTATTTTTTATAAATACAGATTTTGCCTATTTGTGAGTCATTACTTTCATGTTAGAAAACTACACATCAACAACATTCTTTAACTAAATGGAGTATTTTTGTTGGGCATTGCTTGCACTGGCCCAATTTAAAGTTTTGGACCTCACATGACCTCTATACAGATATAACATTAAAGCCCTCCCCTTTTCTGTCCTTTCAGGCACAGTCCTTTCAGGCAGCACAAGACCAAAGATAAACATGAGATCGACCGCATGACGCTCACCATGGTAAGACTCTTCCTCCTTAAAGACAGGTGTGCCCAGTGACAAAATGCACACAGTGGAGGACACATGCTGTATAGTACAAGAAGTCACTGTGTCAAAACTGCCAGAGAACTAGCCTGTACTCAACCATGCTCACATGGGTTTCGTCCTGTTTACCTTCCAGTAATACAAAATGCACACAACTGTTATATGCATACAGCAGTGTGAACAATAAGACAAGAAGAGCTGTTGGTTGTAAACAGTAAATTCTCTATCAGAAGCAATACAATACGACACTTACTTTAAACTGGATCTTACTTTTTTCTTTTAAAAGAGTACATTTTAAAATGGCACTTTGCTATGTTTTGCTATGTTATGTTTTGTAAATTCTGGGATTAGAGTGGATTGGCTGTACTGTAGCAGTCCCAGGAGCTGTCTTAATTGTGAGACTTAGGAGACCATAAGAAGGTGTAACCAAGCAGGGCAAAACAACAGGAAACAAATGCATGACAAGGAAACTCCAATACCGCCTTACTTTATGAGCTATAGATAAGGCACCTGAAGTGGAATCTACAAAGGTTGTACCCTTACTGCACAAAGACAATTGCATTTTTGTTTAAGATATTTTAGACTTTGAAAGCTACATAATGGACACAGGTTATATTTCTCCCTCCTGACCTTAATTCTGAACTGCATTCCATCCAGACACAGTTTTTTGAAATGCTTGTTTAATGGAGATCTACCTTAAAGTTTAAGTAACTTGGATGTATTTTTTTTCTTTTTGTGTCAAAGTTGTAGTTGTAGTAGTTGTAGTTGTAGTAGTACTAGTACTAGTACTAGTAGTTGTATTTGTAGTTGTATTAGTAGTAGTTGTTGTAGTTGTTTGGGATCAGTCACTATCTTATTTTACATTTGCTTGTAAAGAAAAGTCAGAGTTAAACTGTTTTCTTTCTAAATCTAAAAATATCACTCTATATGTCTTTGTGTTTATTTAAGATGATTAACAGTTTAGTTTCATTAAACAGACAGTAGAGAGCCGGGCTGAGAGCAGAGAAGCAGGACAGGCACAGACCGAATGAGGAATAGCAGGACAGGACTCAAGCTAAGACGTGGTCAAAGATTATTAACACATAACACATAGTATTAACAGTATTACACATAGTATAACAGTATATACTGTTAATACTATGTGCAAAAAGTTTTAAATGCTTTTTTACTGATTGTGTCTGATTTAATTCTGTGACTCCTGGTCTGTTACAGAACGTAGAGCTCCCGGACTCATTCACCACAGAGCTCAAGGACCTGCTGGAGGGTCTGCTGCAGAGGGACGTATCCAAGAGACTCGGCTGCCAGGGGCAAGGGTGAGAAGCCTGCGCTCTTTTTATACTGTTTTTTAAAATATCACTGCTAATAACATACTATTTTTTAAATATTACTGCTAATAATTATAATGACAAGTATAGCACTTTAACCATGTAGGCCATGAATTGAACTTTGCACTCTTACTGTGGCAAACAGCACCACCTTCTGTTAAGAGCAATGATTGATGCTCTTTTCCATGCAGAGCTCAAGAAGTAAAGGAACACCAGTTTTTCAAAGGCATCGATTGGCAGCAGGTGTATCTGCAAAAGGTCTGTCATCATGTTAATAAATAAATAAATAATAGATTATGTTTATTGTGCACACTAGTAGTGCTCAGTGGATGTGGAGTATCCTTCAATTAGTAAAAAGACAAATACAAGCACTGTTGATACAAATGTCCAGTTTCATTGAATTGCTGTGGTCACCACAACACTACTTGGAAGGCTGTCATTGCACTGTGCTCATCTTTTCTTCTGCTTTCCCCCACAGTACTCTCCCCCATTAATTCCTCCCAGAGGAGAAGTAAATGCTGCTGACGCTTTTGATATAGGCTCTTTTGATGAGGAGGACACCAAGGGCATCAAGGTACGACACTGCATAACTAACCTGCTCTCCAGTTGACAGTCTGTTGTGTTCCATTTTGGGTTAATTTCACAAAAACAGCTTTCGTCTTATTAAATTTTATGTTGTAGCATTTATAATTGTACGTACCTGCAGAACAATATATATTGTTTACCATTTCTCTGTAAGTAATATTAATAATGACATGACTACGAAGTCACGCTCACTGCAAATGAGTTATTGTTGTTATTCAATGTACAAGTCAACAGTTTCCAGTTTAAAGTGGATCATATTCCTCATTGCAACTGCACAATGCACACAAATTAATTCTAATTCTTCTAATATAGAATTAAAGCAAAGACTGCTCAGTCTATAATTAAATTTTTATTGATTATTAGTGACCTTAAACTGTCGCACAAGATAAAAATTGGGTTCAGTATGTTGAAGATTACCAGCTAATATCATGAATATTATTTAATATTGTCCTACATAATTATTATTTTTTTATTCTTAAATCTTTCTTTCAGTTGCTGGACAGTGACCAGGAATTGTACAAGAACTTCCCCCTGGTCATATCGGAGCGCTGGCAGCAGGAGGTGGCAGAAACTGTGTATGAGGCGGTGAACTCCGACACAGACAAGATTGAGGCTCGCAAACGAGCCAAAAACAAGCAACTAGGCCATGAAGAAGGCATGTCCTATGTTTAAACTATTAACTTTGTACAAATTGTATAAATTACATAGCTGACTCTTTTCTTGTACATGCACAGACTATGCCTTAGGAAAAGACTGCATAATGCATGGCTACATGCTCAAGTTGGGGAACCCCTTCCTAACCCAGTGGCAGCGCAGATACTTCTATCTTTTCCCTAACCGTGTGGAGTGGAGAGGGGAAGGCGAATCTCGGGTAAGTTCCCATTTTTATTTTTGACATGATAGCTGTCTTGTGTTGCTTGTCTATTTGTCAGTGAATACATGTTTGTCTGTTGTTGTTGGCACTCATTAAAGGAATCCTGGCTAGCACAATTAAAAAAGCTCAGAGGGGTGAGTGTTATATTTGCCAGGTGTTAATATGTCCTGTTTTCTTAGAGCTAGTCACAGACTCCCTGCTTCAGTCTGTAGCATGCATTGCTCCTTTGACTACCCCCTACTGGTAGAAACACAACAAATATAATTGGATCTGTTCAATACTATTTGAACTCACTGGGAATAATGTGCTGCCGTTTGCTGTATTCATTCATTTAGACGTGTTAACAGTTTCTTCTACCACCATAGAAAAACCTTATAAACCAAGAATGTCTTTTCTCCCTTAGTTTCTAGATTACATTTGAATAATTAAGATCAGTGGTTTTGGACATTTTGTGGTACCATCTCTGTAACAAATTTCTAATAAATGTAAAATGCTCTAGTGTGACATGTAAGAATATACAGTATGTATAGTGGGTGACTTAGTTCACTGCAGTTATTGTACATTTCTTCTTTGCCCACATTCATTGGCCTGGTTTTTCCAGCAAAATCTGCTGACGATGGAGCAAATAGTGACTGTGGAAGAAACACAGATAAAAGACAAGAAGTGCATCTTGCTACGCATCAAAGGTGGAAAGCAGTTTGTGCTGCAGTGTGAGGTAAGAGTATAGAGCTGTTGTGATTTATTTGTTAGTAAAACTTAAAAGTAATAATCTGATCATGTTTTTCATTGGTAGAGTGATCCTGAGTTTGTGCAGTGGAAGAAAGAGCTGACTGAAGCGTTTACAGAGGCCCAGAAGCTACTGCGTCGTGCCCCCAAAGTCATTGGCAAAGGCAGAGCAGGAGTGGTTGAGCTGTCCAAACCTCCCCTTACACACCGCAATAGCAATGGCTTGTGAACCGGCACACTCATTTGCACACACAGTCTGACCACAGTCCTCCCTGTTTACTCACTAGCCTCAGGACTTTAGGACCTGAACCCTGTCCATCCCTGGAGCCTGATTCCTGTGCGTGTGTTTACGGACCAACAGCACACAGCTTAATTTGTGACCAATCATCTGTTGTTTGTACCACCATGGAACTTGACTTGTCATCGTGATGGAGGATGGGTGCTGGATATTACATTTAGAGGTCTTAGCATGTGAAAGGCCTCTGAGTGAATGTCTATGTCCAGGAAAAGCTCCCTTGGCTTAATGTTTTGCTTACTATTTCTCCACACTTTCTACAGAAATTAATTCAGGAGGCTTGCATTGAACCAGCTTTATCGTGGACCAGCTGAAGGACGTTCCCTTTTCCTTCAGAAGAAAATCAGAAAAAGTATTTCTTATGTATATGTGTATTTTTGAGTGGCCTAACTTAGAAAAAATGGCTGCTCAAAATGTTGTTCTCTTCATTGTGTCTGTAACCATTCCTCCCCTCCAAGTGAAGTGCGTGAAGTGCCAACATTGATATGTACTTGAGACACCTGGACACAACAGCCTGGTGGTGGTTTTTGCCCACAAATTCACAGAGATGGAGTGAAAGCAGGGTGTTAATGGTTCAGGCCTGATCATTCCAACGCCAGGAAGTGCAAGGACCACAGACTGTTCTGATTGGCCCTCGGACACAGTTACTATAGAGACTGCACTTCGATTGGGTGACAAGCAGCAGCTGGTTACTATGGGAACCCCATAGACTGGTATCCAAGGACAACATTGTAACTTGGGCTACACTCTGAGGTGAAGAAATCAAGGAGATCGTCAGGAGAACAGGGAGTGACTCTTGAGTGTATATAAGTAACCCTTTCTCTGTGCATCTCCAGTGTTTTAGTCTATGCTACAATGTGTGTGCATTATCAAGGACTTCTCTGTCTGCCTGTTGTGAGTTGTCCATGTGTTGGGCTTTTTGAAAAAGGGGTTGGGGTCAGTTCTTGTGGGTGGGAGCAACCAGAGGAACTTTCAATTACTCACAGCATACATAACCTTTTTGGACATTGTCAGTTTATCTAGGCTGAGCGATGACTTTCTTTTATGGGCCAAATGTTCTTTGTGCGATGTGCGTGTGTGTATGAGCACGTGTATGAGTGAGAGAAGTATATATTTGTCATTGTATCAATCATTATAAAACAATCCACCTCTGATTTTAGTGTGAATATGAAGATGACCACCTTAAGCTAATTTAAAGATATTTCACTCTATATACATTTTAGGGGCATTTCTGGTTTCTTTTATATGAAGGTTTGAAATGTTCTACTTTTTGCACTCTTTTTATCCAACCTGCCTTGATTTCAGTTTGTTCATTCATTCCAATGTCATTCAGAATTCCCTGAAATCAAGTTTCTAATACTGATATAGAACTAGCTACACAGTAATGTTTATTAAATGTCATTACTTTGTAAATGGGTTCAGGATGCATGTATATTTTACTTTCAGTCAGCTTTCAGTCAAACTCAATATCACTTAATATTAGATTATCAGTTTAAGATGCCCTGTTACAGTCCTATTATTCCATATCACAAGTCCCTTCATAAATCCAATGTTTTTGAGGCTTTTAATGTAAATAATTGTAGGTTGTCACAAGTTTAATAGTATGAGACTGTTGAATTTATACTTGGGAATAAGTGCTTGTATAGATGAATAATAGTTCATATTAGCCAGTTATAGCCTGTGTCATCTTAACATTTTGTATTGCCCACTTATGTCAATCAAAATGTTGTCTACAGTTTATTTCCTTAATCTCAGAATCTTGGGTATAAACGTTTTTTCATTTGTATTTTTTAAATTACTCCCACCAGATCCACAAATGACAATTATAGCTTGAGTTGTATGTATTTGAGTCGTCATTGACAGTCTTGGCTTGAGAGGGTAGTGAAGTATGTTGGGAAAATCACTCTACTCTATTAAGTTTGTGTTGATGCAGTATTGTCATTGTAATGTCCATGCATTTCTTAGTTAATATTCAACTTTGCAGAAAAAGGTTAATTGGGGTGCATTTTTGATTAGTATTTTTATTTTTAGCTTTATTATTCAGGGGAGAGTTTTTTTGTCTAGAAAGATGTGACACCTTTCAAGGTGTCTTTTTAATTTTATAAACCAAAATGGTTTTGTTGTTTTACTCTTCTTGCACCTTTTAGCCCACTGTGTTACTTATTAGTTGTTAAATGTGCCAAATAACTTGGAAGCTTGATGGGAACCAATGGGAAGCCGTCCTTTGGGACCTTTGACCCCTCTCTCTGTGGGCTCTGTGGACCAGTTGAGTCAGCAGTCCACAGTTGAACTTTGGTCCAGAGTAACAGTCGGAAGCAGGGGTGCAAAACTGTGACCAATTGTGTTTTTTCAGGACTGAATGCAACAGAGTGCATCAGACAGGCCTCTACCAAGTTGCCATGAAACTTTCACCCCACTTCACCTCTCTGTATGTATGTGTGAGCAAATGTGTGCTTATTATTGTATGTTTGCTTTGTGAACTACTTAATTCTTGTGTTTGTACACAAATCTGTCCAGATACCGGCTCAACACAAGACCATTTAAAGGGTGTGGAATATAGGAAAAATTAAAGGTATATATAAATATATGTGTATAATATGAAATAAAAAAATTCTCTAGGTTTATTTAAAAAATGATGTAGAAAACAGAAATTGTTGCGAGGACATCAGGGGTTTTGATGTGAGTTTATGTTTGTTGTTATGAGTTCAGCTCAAACCTTGCACATAAAGACTGAGATATTGTACCTGGAGTAACAGATGAATATTTTTGTTCAAATACCGGACTCTTTCATATTTATTGTGGAGTGTGTGGAGACTATGGTGGTAGATCCTCCGGTTTACACCCATCAAAACCCTTTTTCAATGTTATAAACACAAGTACTACTGGCTTTAGTTTATTGCCATTCAGGTTATGATGATGCTGAAATATAAGTGATATTATTCAACAATTAAATTAATTTTATTTCGATGAACTTGTTCTTTTCGTTTCCAAGGATGGTAGGAAGTTGTGTGTTGGACTGCTTGTGCAAACAGTTCATGAATAAAGTCTTTTTTTTTTTTTTTTTTCCCGTGTTGCTTGCTGTAGCATGTTCTTTATCGTTCCTTAAATATTGTTGTTCCTTTAAAGCTATAATCCGTTATTAACAGGGGCTGGGTTGTTCAGTCTAAAGTCTCGCATATCACCATCAACTATGTTGTTGCAGTCTGATAACATGTAAGCTTTGACTTGACCTTAGCAAAGGCCAGGTGAAGGGAGGGGGGCAGGTTTCACATTTGCCATCTGCTGGTAACAAAAGGTCTAATAACTATACAGGTGGTATAGCTTTAATGAGGCTACTTTGAAAATCTATGTACAGAAGAATACTGTCACCCTGGATATATGGTGTGGTCCATTGATGTCCACTTTATTATTCTAATGTCCTTACATGTGAAAGGTATTGCTCAAATGCCAAATATTTCACTAAGCATGAAGACGATGCACAAGCAAGAGTTGTAGCAGATACTGTTTCTATTTCGACATTCAGTGGTGGTGTTTTTTTTCAACCCTTGTATGCACAACAGTAACCAAAAGTAATTTGATTTTCTTTTAAAAGCAACAGTTATTATAACTGCTTGTCCTCAACAGTCCTACAGCCACTGTCCTAAAGCTTTGAACTGAGCTGTAGAATATTGGCATGTCTGAATTTGATGAAATGCTTTAATTATTTCTATTATTGGGTATAACTGATCTGAAAATGTGAAAATATGTTTTTTTTAAATGCCAAAATTTACTCAAAGTTTACTTATCACCACCTCCCATACAGATCCCTGCCTCCTCCCACTCAGCTGCAGCTGTCACTCAAACTGAACAGCTGACTACTGACCTGCAAAAATGTGCTTTTCTCCCTGTGCTTTGAGAAGATTTTTTACTCTGAACACAAGAAGATTCAGAGAGACTTAGAAATATCATGTACAAAACTCATGAAGCAAAAACTTCGCTCCTTGTTGAAGTAATTCTCTAAACAGCACAGTCCCTGCTCACCGCCTGCCTGCTGGTGTATTTATAGAGGCGTCTGCTGTCAGTGTTTGTGTGAGGGAGTGGGGGAGATTGGTCGGACCCCGTGTGACTCTATTTCTGACCCTATTGCTACATGCCCCTCACAGTCTGTGCAGCCGCGTGTCTGTATGTGGGACAGAAGGCTTCCAATTTGGCCACAGGATTCACATCAACAAATCTGGAATTACTGAAATTTGGACCTTGAAGGTATGTGGAATCTAGTGTAGGTGTTTCTGTCCATATATGACATTCTCTAGGCTATATTTATGGCGATATGAGCTTAGGTCTGACACTAAGTGCTCTAGGGTGTGATTTGACATTGCCTGTGTCACCCTACACAGACAAGCATAGGTTGACATTTTTACAATTTATGTATTATAGTTATTTTATAGCTAGTATTTTCTGGGGGGAAAAATGCTTTAGGTCCAGTCTTGTTATAGTAATTTCTGCCAATACCACCACACCAACTCAACTGACTTATGATGGACTGGTACATTTGGCATTCGTTTGTAATAGGTCAGTGCCTTTATCTCTGCTTGGTACAAAGATAAATGGTCAACTGGTACTAGTCGGTATAATATGAAATAGTTTATCTGCTGAGATGACTATAAGGGCTTTCAGGAAAATGGTGCGTAAATTACAAACCTTTGTTTTTTATGCTGTGTTTTTGTTTGCGGCCTGTGTTCCAGACTGTCATGAAAAAGCCCCTGAATGAAACATGAGAGTGAGAAATAGTCTACCGAGGAATCAGTTTGTAATAGTTGTGACTGAACTGTGAGTTACAGAAATGCAGGAAAGGTTCTGTTAATATATAAAAGCAGACAACATATTGAAGAAACGTCTGACTGGATATAAACATGCATGGATACACAAAAGCAACTTATTACAGATAAAGCTAAATAACTGTAACTTTGTTACAAAGCTGTACAACTGTCTGGGGGCACAACTGAAAGGTCCACAGAACACATCTTTGAAACTTACTGGTAAAATTGTTGGGCCTAGAGCAACCTGCATGCATGTACACATAGGTTTTCTCCTGATAGTTCAGCATGTAACCTCCTACATGGACAAAATTGTTTAGGCTCATTACACCACAGGTTGCTGCTTAATACACTTCCCCAGTGGCAATGGAAGAATGTGTTGCTATTATGAAGACTTACAGTGGTGCATCACCTTGTCCTTGTGTCTCACCTCTTCACCTCAGGTGCTCTGTGTTACTGTTTTTCTCTGGGCTTACACAGCTCCACACGACGCTGACAGCACACCTGGCCAGATCCCCCACTGTGATCCCCTCCCCCTTACACACACCAGGCACCATGGCACTGTCATCGAGGCTCAAGCTCTGGGAGCAGAAGGAAGGTTCAGGGCTACTGCATGTTGTGTAAACACAGCATGGACTCAATATGTACTCTGTGTGTGGAATAGTGGTACTTAAAGCACGGTGAGAAGTCCTCCTTGTTCTAACCCTGATTCACACTGGCACGTAACTGTGAGGCTGCCTGTTAAGCCTGAATTAGTCATCATTATTTTAATACTTTTTACTGCACCTTCATTCGTGATAAATAATTTTTTTTCATATTATAAGTTGTGTTTATCATTTCATTTCCAAAATGTATTTGTGATGGGTATGTCATGGAAATAGTTGATCCAGGTGTGTCCACATCCCATAATAAAATTTTCTGTTTTCTGTGGTGCACTGAAAACAACAGATAAAAGAGGAGAAGACCCCAGTGCCCACTGCAGTCGCACCAGCGCCTCTGTCAGCAGTACCAGGGGGCTTCCTCAAACAGTTGGTCAGAGACTCAGAGAAGGAGACCAAACTTAAGGAACCTGAGCTCAAAACAGATGATAAGGCAGTAAGTGTTTTCTTCCTTCACTAAGAGAGTTATTCAAGGACCTAACTGGACTCTTTCTCTCAACAGCCCAGTAAACTAAGTAACAACCTTGTACAACAGTTCCTCACCCCAGACCAGACTCCTCCAATCCTAGAGGCTGAGATGTCCCTTAAAGCAGACCAACTGTTAGAAAATAAGCAACGGAGCAATTCGGCACAATCGGAACACAAATCTCCGTCTCCAAGGCAACTAATCACTCCCGACAATTTACAGGTTATAAGGCAAGAGGTAATTTCACCACAGTCCAAACAAAAGCAGGATGTTGTGCCAGAAGTGAAGAAAGTGAACAAGGAGGCAGAGGAGAAGAAGAGGAAGAAAGAGGAGGTGACACAGGTGGAGATGAAAGTGGGAAGGATTGAGACAAGGCAGGAGCCAGAGGGGCAGCAGGCAGACAGCACCATTGTGGAGCACGAGAGAAAAGAGGTACGTCACTGTTATTACCAATTTAGCAGTGTAATAAAAGTGGAATGCACCTTACTGAGGCACAGGTAACAGTAGTGGCAATAATGTAATATTAGTAGTAACAGCAGTAGTGATGTTATTAATAGTTGCAGTAGTCTTTGTAGAAGTAATAGTCAAATTATTTATTTAATTGTATGATTATGTTATGCACTGTTCAAATTGTAACAGGTTAGAGATGTGTGGTATGAAGCTGGGACCATTTGGTATGTCCACAAAGATGGATACAGTCTTGGTAAGTAAATCTTTGTAATACTCCACTGATTCACTATTGTTGCCACTAGCCTATTATTCCCTCTGTCACCATGTGTGTGAACACTGAAATAATCTCATTCATTTAGTATAATATGCTCTGGGATTAGCGTGAAGCCTGTTAATCCAATTACAATCTCTCATAATCTGCTAGTTTATTATAGGGCACTCATATTATGTGACATATTATCTGTTATGATGCTGGTCCATATGCGCGCAGATCTCCTCTGGCCATCTTTATCCATACGTCCTTACTGTTCTTGTGTGCTGCGCTAATCTAAAGATCAAATCATATGGCTCACAACACATGACCTGTACCCCGGAATCACAACGTGCATTAAACATAGCATATGGAAATGGCCTTGTATTGTTCTGTTCTGTTCGACCTCTTGTGGATAATTACCAATAGCAGGTCACCACGGATGTGCAGCCAGTGAAGGATTTGATGTACTGTATATTTTCTAATTGCATTTTATTAGCCACTCAACTGAAGCCAGATGAAGGCACCCCTGATCTCCCTGATGGTAAAGTGAGGGTGCGCCTGCATAGCGATGGCACATTGCATGACGTCTCTGAGTTTGACATACAGAAGGTATGACTGAATAATGATGTTTGCAGTGCTTGATCCTATTACATAAATACAGTATGTATTTCACTCATAAGGGGCTAACTCTTCCTAATCCACAGTGCAACCCAAAAGAGCTGGATCTCTGTGAAGATTTGAGTAACCTCCAGAGTGTGAATGAATGTGGTGTCCTACACACCCTCATCAGCAGAGCTAAAGCCAACATGCCCCTCACTCATGCTGGACCCAACCTGGTCAACTTCTGGCCCCCACTGCAAGCCAGCAGTAAGGTAAAAGGATATTACTCAAAGAGCTAGAGTAGTAGGGGTTTATGGAGTTAAGTAATGATGCTACTTTCAAGTACAACCAGGTCAAAATAATTACTTAAACTGCTTGTTGTTACAATGACAAATATAAACAAAGTAGGCTGTTATCACTCTCTGTTATTGGCATTTTTCAAATGTCTCTGTATTGTTAATTAAAGTAGTTAGTGGCATCACAAATGGAAGAAAACTAAGCATGAGTTATATTTTGCTCCATTTTTTCACCAGACCCCAAAGTCACGGCGTGGAGAGTCTGTATGGGATGCCCCTCCTGCTCTGGACACTCTGGTCAAACAGGTGTATGTGTCCATGGTGGGCACCAGGAGGGACCACAGTGTGTGTGCACTGGGTCGCAGTGGGACAGGCAAGACCACTGCCTGTCAGGCCTTTACTCTTGCGCTGCTCAAGCAAGCAGGGACAGCTGGGAACAACATAAGCTGTGGGTATTTCTGCTAAAGACACAAGGACCCTTGCTAATGGTTTTTTGAATGATTTTTCTCTTCTTTTCTCCAGATGATCGAGCGAAGGCTATGTTCACTGTTCTAAGGTCTTTTGGCTGTGTTGCGTCTCCTCACAGCGATGCATCAACGCGATTTGCAATGGTGTTCTCATTGGACTTCAACCATGCAGGCCAGGCTGCTGCAGGACATCTCCAGGTATGTCCCATATGCACCTGTTAGACACAGTCACATGCACAGAATATACATGTGAACATTCCAAATGTTCTTCTCCAGACTATGATGCTCGACAAATGGAAAGTGTGTCAAAAAACGCCAGGAGAAAGTAACTTCCTGGTCTTTGCCCAGATGCTTGCAGGACTGAGTTCAGAGATGAGGTACTGCGTATTTCATATTCTTACTGACATGAGACACATATCTAATATTTCTGTTCTTGTACTGAATATATTTTATGTTCTTTTAAAAGAACAGAGTTGCAGCTCCATCAGTTTCCTGAGACCAACTCCTTTGGTATTGTCTACCCCACCAAGGTAAAGTAAGTGTAACAGATAAGTCTAGAGTCCTCTACTTTGTTACTGTGAAGGACTTTAGGGCAGGAATTATTGAATTCAGTGGGGAAATTACGAAATAACTGCATATCTGATATTTTATTCTGCTTTGCTGTCTTTAGGTTGAAGAGAAGCAGCGTGCATCAGTTGCCTTTACTAAGCTGCTAAGTGCCATGGAAACACTGGGCTTCTCTGTCAATGAACAGAAGGCAATATGGCATGTGCTGGCTGGTATTTACCATCTGGGAGCTGCTGGGGCCAGCAAAGGTAACAATACATCATCAACACCAATTACATTGCCCAAGCAAGCCCAAAACAAGTTCTTATTATAGCAAACATACCAGACACTAATGTTTTTTCTACTGTTTTTTCTACTGTTGCCCAGTTGCATCATGTACAACATGTTTTTCCCCCTTTTTTCTCTGTCTGTAGTGGGAAGGAGGCAGTTTGGTAATTTTGACAGTTCACAGGTGGCCAGCAGTGTGTTGGGCTGTGAGGGGGACGATTTGCACACTGCTGTGTTCAAACATCATCTCAGACAAATCCTACAAAGAGCCACTGGGAGCGCTAGAGAGAAGTGTTTGCCTGTCGAATCAGATGAAGGTGAGAAAATTTGTATCACCGTTATCATTACCGCATCTTTTGCGTATCTTATTTCCATAACTGAAAAAATGTATTCTTTGCGCGCAGGGCCTCGACTGACAGCAACTCAGTGCCTCGATGGAATGGCTGCTGGTCTCTATGAAGAACTTTTCACTGCTCTAGTTTCTCTCATAAACAGGTATTTAGTGCAATGGAGTATGAAGCTGCCAACACAAGTTGAAATAGTTTCATGCAGTTTGAGTTTTATACATGTATTGTTACCAGGGCCCTGTGCAGTCAGCAGCTGACGTTGGCCTCCGTGATGATCACAGATACACCGGGGATCCGGAATCCCCGACACTGCGGGGAGGAGCGCGGCGCCACCTGGTCTGAACTCTGTCACAACTACCTCCAGGAGCGACTTCTGGAGCACTACCACACGCACACCTTCAAACACACGTTGGAGAGATATGAGCAGGTACTGCAGCCATAAAGAAAAGCACATATACATGTACAACTTAACATGTAAATGACCAATAGAATTATTATCATAAGCCAATTTCTTAAGGCTATTGAAATGTTGTGTATGCTTTCACCAGCCACAACAACACCCAGTTCACAGTTTAATCACAGTGTGTCACCTAATTTGGGCTGCTGAGTAATTTGACATTTGAAATTGTGTCTAACACATGTTGTTTTTCAGGAGAGCATCCCTGTTCAGTTTGAGTGTCCAGAGAACAGTCCATCTGAGCTGGTGTCAGCCATTGATCAACCTCCTCCACAGGTGCAAAACAAGAACAAACTGATTTCCTTACAGTTGCACTATGTAACTTTTATGGTGAATGGTCTGCTACCTGCTTGTCTCCATGGAGATGTTATTGCTTTGCCTGGAATATGAGAGGATAAGGCATTAAACCTATCGATCTCTGTAGTAACAAACATATGATGTTACAAAGCAAAGTTTCAGGTCAGATCTTTAAAATATGAATGCAGGCTCTTGGTAGCAATAAAAAATGGTGGATTTGAATATATGCCAGATAGATATGTGCAGTGCCATTCTAATGCTGACAACTTCAGTGTCTTCTGTTGTGCTGTATTTGTGTTTTAGATCCGAGCAGCAGATGGAGACCCCCGAGGCCTCTTGTGGGTACTGGATGAGGAGATGGTGACACCAGCCTCCAATGAGAGCAGTGCCCTGGAGAGAGTCTGCCAATACTACAGCAGCACTGGTATTACTGTTCTGCATATCCTCAATTACTATTAAATTCAATTACTAATAAAGTAAGAGAAATAAATGTGTATATGCTTGCAGTACGTCAGTGTGAGCAACCACTTCAATGTGAGCTTAACCACTTAATGTCCGGTGACCCGATCCGCTACGACATGACCGGTTGGTTTGGGCTCATCCAGAACAACCTCTCTGCCTCCAACGCCATCTGCCTGCTCCAGAACTCCACCATGTAAGTGTGCAAGGCCCAGCAGTCAGCACTGAGGATGCATTAATCATGTTGTTGTACTATGTTTGGGAGCAGCTGGCTATGTGCCACCAGTGAGTTAAACTACTTGGGCATACCCTTGAGCTTCAGAATACATGACATAAATATTGAGTGTAAGGATGTAAATTTGTGCATGCATGTGTATAGTGTATAGATCACTTCAACAAATGTTGAATCAATCTCAATATAACACCGCTGCATTATTAAGTACTTCAAAACTAATGCTTTGCTTAGAGCCCCAGTAAAGGCCCTGTTCACCCCAAAGATCTCCTTGCCTCCTTTGTGCCGTGGTCTGGGTGGGCTTGAGGGAAGCAGCCAACGCTCTCTGCAGAGAAATGGCACCATCAGAAAAACCTTCAGTGGAGGAATGGCAGCCATACGCAGACTCTCGCAGTGCATTGCAGTGAAATTGCAGGCTGTAAGTATAGTGTAAACTAGAGGTGTATGATTAATAATAAGCATGTGACACTTATGTCTCTGTGGGCTGTAGGATGCTCTGGTGAATGTCATCCGTAGAGCCAGACCAGTGTTTCTTCAGTGTGTAAGCGCCAAGTCTGATGGAGGTTTTGATGTCCCTGCACTTAGGGTCCAGCTCCACTCAACTCAGATACTATCAGCACTGCAGTTGTACCGGACTGGTGAGCTGTTTTGTTATAAAATTCAACACTCTTCTTACTAAGGAAAAACCAGCTCTGTGAAGTGTGTTATATGAATAGCCAAGAAACTATCAGCCCAAACTTTCTTTTTGTGAAATATTTGTGATTGCTTCTTTGGAGTAATAGCACACTAACTGAAAACTGCATATTAAAAATATGTACTGTTTCACTCTCTTTCAGGTTATCCTGATCACATGACTCTTAGTGACTTCAGGTGTCATTTTCAGGCTTTGTCTCCTCCAATTATGAAACGCTACTCTTCAATGTTTGTTATGCATGATGAGAGAAAGGTCAGAAAGTACGGATATGTAAAATGTTAAATATGGTTTGGATTGTTGTTTAAAATATGATCTTTTTCTCAGGCAGTGGAGGAGTTGCTGGTTGAGTTGGATTTAGACAGAAAAAGTGTTGTTTTGGGGGCCAGTAGGGTGAGAAAGTGTTTCCAAACTCAATCTAATAAATAAGATTGAAGAAAATAAGAATAATAAGATAAGAAGAAAAACACTAATGCTGTGTAGTGTGTATTGTGTCTCAGGTGTTCATGAGGCGAGGTGTGTTGCGATACCTGGAGCAGCAGCGGGATCAGCAGGTCACTGGTTGGCTGGTGCATCTACAGGCTGCATGTTTGGGACATCTAGCTCGTCAGAGATACAGGAAGCTCAAAGTGCGTTGTCCTTCTGTGTGTGAAATCACATGCATTCTGAGTTGGATGTCATTATTATTTTTAAGACTAAGAATCTGAAAACTGATCTTAAGTGGTTAAGGATTTAGAGTAAAGATTTAATGAATTCACATTGTATTCTTTCTACATGCCCAGGTGCAGCAGATGGCAGTGAGCTGTCTGCAAAGGAACCTAAGGGCACTGAGGACGGTGTCTACGTGGAGCTGGTGGAAACTGTTCTGTCGTGTCCGTCCTTTACTGGATGTCAACATGGACAATGAAAGACTTAGGGCCAAAGAGGTACACAAAATGCTGAGTCAGAATGTGTTTAGTGTTAGCTTGACAGATTACAGCTTTTGTCTTTCATTGCTCAAACTGAATTAAAAACAGTATACTCAGTCTGCCTGGGCATCTGTGGATCTTTAAAATGGTCCTCATAAGTAAATTGAATTTGACGTTTCATCATTTATTTTAAGGATGTGGTTTTCTCTTGTCAGGACGAGATTTCAGCTCTTAGACGGCGTCTTGAGAAATCAGAGAAAGAAAGAAATGAACTAAGGCAGAGCACCTACAGCCTGGAAACAAAGGTTTGACAGCGCATGATTTGACAATTACAATTTTACTGTAAATTGGTTAAAGCGATGTTTTACCATGCGTCCAGGTCACAGCTGTGACATCCGAGCTAAGCGACGAGCGTTTCCGTGGAGATGCAGTGGGTCAAGCTTTGGATGTGGAACGGGCCGAGAGACTGCGGCTCAGCCGGGAAAACAAGGATCTACAGGTATCATTAGTACATGTTGGAAATTTGTATTTATGTGACTTTATGATAATATCTTAACCACATAATTTTTTTGTTTAGTTTTTCTGCCAGCAAGTTTGTGTTGTATTGGTTGACTATGTTTAACTGCAACTTTGTCTGTGTTTTAATACAAGCTTCGTCTAGAGCAGTGCAAAGTCACCATGGAAACACTGGAGAAGCAGCTTGAGGAGGAGACACAGAAATCTACCATCGCACAGAGTCAGAGAGGCGCAGGGACAGGTAATAACTTTATTCATTAAATAGACCTGTCACCATTTAAAGATAGTGAGGATTACCATTATTATTGATTCACTTCACATTTATAACCAAACATCTGCCAAAATAGTTTGTGAATGTTGTGAAAATTCATTTTGGTGAGTATATATCTCACAGTATGTGTCATTAGTGAAAGACTGATGTGTTGAAAGAGGAAAGAGATCTCATTTGCGTTCCCTCAGAGCTGGTGTCAGCAGGTCAGATGTGGTTAGAGATGGTTTGTGTCAGGCTAAACAAAGACATCTGACTTTGTCTGACTGTGACCATCACCTCTGGCAAAGTGGTATCCATCTGGTCCTCCTCAGAGAGTGAGCTGACCATGCAGCTGGAGTGCTGCCAAACAGAGGTGGAATTTCTACGCAGACGACTGAAGCAGACTGAGGAAAAACTGGAGACAGAGAAACAAACACGTCAACAGCTTGATGCCAAGGTGAGTAAACACCCTGTTGCACAACATGTAGGACATTATATGTACAAATACATTGACTGTGTGCATGTTTAGGTGGCTGCTTTACAGGCTCAGTTGGAACAGTCCAGAAAGAGTGTAACAGAGCTGAAACGTCACTGCCGCCGTGTGACCTCTGACCTTCAAGATGCAAGGGTCCTCACTGACAGCTTGCAGAGTCGCATGCACGAGCTGGAGCGCAAACAGAAGAAGTTAGTCTGCCCACATACAGTGCACACTTTACAATGTATTTAGAGGTTACATTTGACTTTGAGCATGGATACATCTGACCTGTGTATTGCATCATTATGTGCTGCATAAATCCATTTTCACTGTGTTTGTGTTTACAGGTTTGACAATGAGTTGACTCAAGCTTTAGAAGAAGCTGAAAATGAGCGAGAGCAAAAGGACAAAGCTTTTCATGAAAACACTGCTCTAGAGGCAGAAATATATACACTGCGGCGCAACCTACAAGTGGGTTATTTTTCTATTTAAATTGCATGTTTTTTAATGTATATTTTGTTTACATTATGTTGATGTGTGTTTGTGTGCAGGAGACCCAGACAGAGGTGGGCCGTCTGCAGAAACAGAAGGATGAATTGTGTGCTCAGATCCGAGACCTCAGTCTGCCTGTGGACCTTGCCTCTGAGTCACTGCCTGACCTCAAAAAGCAGCTGCGCCTGCTGGAGAGCCAGGCGGGTGAGCAAGCAGAGGAAATCACCAAACTAACTGCTAAACTCCAACAACAGCAACAGGTGCTTCCACTGCCCTTCAGTGATTTCAGAAACATCCATGACCCACTTCCTGACCTCATGTGCTTTACTGTAGATACACATGCGTTTTGAAATGGAGATGGAGCGCATGAAGCAGATCCATCAAAAGGAGCTGGAGGATAAGGAAGAGGAGCTGGAGGATGTCCACAAGTCCTCTCAGAGACGGGTCAGTGACCACTGCACATGCAAAAACACACTCCTGCATGCAATTGCAGTATGCATTCAACAGCCGAGCACATGATATAGTAGTAGACATGTTTTAATTTATTGGTGTGAGGCAAAGCCAAGTAAAAATGTAACTCTGCTTAGGTTGTGTGAGTTTTGTCTTCATTTTGACAGTGAGCACTTCTTTAGAAGTCAAATTTATTCAGATGAAGGTTGTCGTTCGCCTATGTTTGTCTTCAAAGATCTATAGATAATTATTTTAATGCTTATTGTAGAAGATCACCCTGCAAGGGGACATTTCCTGTCTGGAACAATAGAAATTCATTTAGCTTGATGCCAGTTCATAAATTCTGCCATTTTGTGTCTGTCTACAGCTCAGACAGTTAGAGATGCAGTTGGAACAGGAGTATGAGGAGAAACAGATGGTGATTCACGAGAAGCATGACTTGGAGGGACTTATTGCAACACTATGCGATCAGGTACCACGTACATGACCCCTGTTCTCTGTGATACATATGTTTTGCACTCACAGGCACAAATCATGTATTATGAGTGATAATAGTGTCATTTTTTTCATTACTGCATTTTAAATGTATGTGTTGAGAAACTGTAAGGAATTACTGTACCACTTGAAAAAGATCATACAAATTCAATGTGTGCTATACACATGATAATTTTGTGATAGGATGATAAACAATTTCAGTCTGTGTACAGACTGAAATAAGATATAGGTCTACAATATGTAAACAAAGCATTTTACTTAATAATATACTTACTTACTAATATATTGACTCTGACGTGAATCAGAGGGTTTTTCAAATAATTATTATGAACCATAGGACAGAAACATCTGGCACTCAGTCTTTTAACTTCGCTGTTATTTATCACTGTTGTGTGACCACTATTATGAACTGTTTAGATGACCAGTTGGTAAAAACATTTTCCTTTAGGTGGGTCACAGAGACTTTGATGTGGAGAAGAAGCTGAGGAGGGATTTGAAGCGGACCCATGCTCTACTGGCAGATGCCCAGCTGTTGATTGCCACCATCAACAACACAGAAGACAATAAGCCGAGTGGCAACAAGGACCAGATTGAGCGCCTTCACTGTCAGGTCTGCACCACTGACTTAATGGGCTGTTCATATAGACATTAGTTTAATAACTGTTCCTGCTCTGGATAGTTTGAGGAGAGTGAAGCACGACGACTGGAGCTTGAGAACATCCAGACGACTCTCGCCCAGGAGCTGGAGAACACACAGATCGAGCTAGAAACCATCTGCAAACAGAAGAGTGTGGTAAGCAAATATATTTATATAAATATACTGTATATTTTTATTTAAATATTTATATTTTTTTGTTAAGAACAAAAATACAAACTAAAAACAAAAACAGTGAGAGCTCAATAGATAAACAACTCAAAAGTAATGCTTAAAATAATGATATGAATAATATAAATTATTCAGAGAGATTATGAATAAAAGGGTAATTGACAAAAAATTAAAAAAATAATTAAAAATAGCCTTTTGTTATTTGATTAGAATGATTGTGTATTGCATTGTTTTCAAATTGGTGTGCTGTTCTTGAATACAGGAAGAACTGCACCATCATTTACTGAGTTTGCTTTCAGGTACAGCTTTTGTTCTGGATATCTTATATTTGACTTGTGTCCAGGTGGATGAACAGTTGGCCTTGCTTCAACATGACAAAGTGGACTTGCTTAAGAGACTTGAAGAGGACCAAGAAGATCTGAATGAACTTATGAAGAAGCACAAAGCTCTCATTGCACAGGTGTTAAACTATATACCTTACAGCTCTGTTTACAATAAAGCTAATACTAAATGTCTGTTCTGTCTGTTGTTTAGTCCTCTAGTGACATTGCTCAGATTAGAGAGCTGCAGGCTGAACTTGAGGAAGTGAAGAAACAGAGACAGTCCCTCCAGGAAGAGGTAACTGACAAAATAGCACAGCTCCAAATTCACTTTAATGTCCCTGCTACAGATCTCAATATGACTTTAAGGTGGAGGTCTGCCACTCTCGCTAATGGACTAATGCATAATTTGGCTCTCTAAATCTTTGTCCAACACCTCTGTTTTTCTCAATGTAGCTTCAGCAAAGTGTATCTAGGGTGCAGTTTCTTGAGTCGTCCACTGTGGGGCGCAGCATTGTCAGTAAACAAGAGGCACGGGTATGTGACCTGGAAAACAAACTGGAGTTTCAGAGAGGACAAGTCAAGCGGTTTGAGGTTTGAAAACACTACATGCATTGTTGATATTGATGATACTTTTGAGGGTCTAATTATGTGTATATTTAGGTGCTGGTGCTGCGCCTCAGGGACAGTGTGGTGCGTTTGGGGGAGGAGCTTGAGCAGAGCGCCCAGGCTGAAGCACGGGAGAGAGAGAATGCCCGTTACTACCAACAGCGTCTGCAGGACATGAGACTGGAGATGGAGGATCTGATCCAGAGAGAGCAGGATAGCAGCCGCAAGCGCATGGAACTGGTAGCCTATATCTGCACTGAGTTACACTATGACAGGCCAAAATGTACCCACTAAGATGATAATGTTATTGAAATAATGCAGGGCTCTACCACCTCTTAGAACAGTATGGCATTACCTCTTGGTTTCATCACTAGACTGCTGTTTGTGAGCACAGCAGGACTTAAGCATTACATTTATGGGAAGTTTTAACGATTTACAAAAGTTAATTCTGTTAAGTGCCAGCACAAAGCTCCTTCCCCTGGGCAAGTTAGCAAATGTGCTCCACTTTCAAAATGTCTTGGCGTGGCTTTTAAGAAAAACAACAGCTGCTGAATTATCTGAACCATTATAACATCGCATTATATTTTCATTATGGCTACAGCTACACCATCAGCAGACTGCTTAAACACCCCAAGTGCACATGGGTGTCGGCCAATTTGAATTATTTCTAAGTTTGTCCTAAGATGTTTTTAATAGATTTACAATGGTTCACTGCTGTTGTGGTTTGTGACTGCAGTCACTTTAAAGACCTGTTTATCATCTAGTCTAGCATGGTTGTCACAATACATGGCTGCTTGATAGTTTAACTACAGTTGTCATTTGTTGTAAAAATCAAACCTCATTTTTACATTTCAACAGATCTAAGGCTTTGGTGCAGATTTAGAAGCTTTTGTTCTCAGAAAAAAATATTTTGACTTTGTAGCAAAAACACAAAGTAACAGTATAATTTTCATGTCCTTATTAGGTGTTATATGAAACATCCATTGTATATTACAAAAATCTGTGTTATTTTTTGGAATTATTACCAGGTTAAAGTAAAATAAACTTTACCATTGCCAATACCATTATCCAATGTAATTATCAAGGAAAACTGTAAATTAAAACTCTGTCCTGTATAGTGTAAACTGATATTTGGACAAAGCCCTTCGGATTATGCATTTACTTTAGTTCTAGAGAATTCCTTTAAACTGCGTTTATCACTTGACCTTTGGTCTGTATAAAAAAGAGACAAGTCATTTTTATTAAGGCAAAGCCCCCCCCCTCCCCCAATAAACAGACACCTAATCGCCCTCCACCTGCCTCCATACTCCCTTCTTCACGTCATCTCTCCCTCTCCCTGCCTTCTCTCTCTCTGTGATTAATCCTCATTGTCTCCTCAAGGTTATGGGCAAACACACACACATTCATACATGCTTATGTGTCTCTATGACAACTGCTACACCCACACCCGTCTTCTGAAGCCAACAAAGCCAATAACTTTGAAAGCCTGTAAGCTTGTGTGTGTCTGTGACAGAAAGAAAAACGACAAGATGAAATAATAAATCGCATTATTCTCTCAATGCCATTGCATGTAGCTAACAATTCTCTTCAAACTAACCTGATCACAATTACCAGAGTGATTACCAGAGACTGTGGTCACACCTTCAGAGAGGACACATGCCACAGGACATTCACTAACTGATGAGGTAATATGGGACAGAGCTGGTTTAATTGTTTAATTGAAATAGCCCTACAGTCCTTAATAGTTATCAGGGGATAAAAACACAGCTGAAGATTAATAAGTGGCTCTTCCTCTCAACCTTGAAATGCTGTGTGTTTGTAGGAAATGCAGGTGGAGGAGCTGAACGCGGTGCGACAGGCATTACAGGCTGATCTGGAGACATCTATCAAGCGTATCGTAGATCTGCAGGCTGCCCTGGAGGAGGTGGAGTCCAGTGATGAGAGTGATACAGAGAGGTGACTATTTAAATATAGTGAAAAACATGTCCAAGTACATTAACCCAAATATTCACTTGACCTTCCTCCAATTCAGTGTTAAAACTGCTGTGGAGTCTTTGACAAGAAAGAAAGATCTGTAAGACAGTGGACTTGTCTTGTGCCTGTGTGCTCAGTTGATTCCTTACCCTAATCTGTCTGAGTGAATATGCTTGTACCTTGGGACTTTAAATATACTTACCTTAATAAGCATTCCAGCAATACAATAAACTGGAACTTTAAAGTAGCTGGGTTCAAAGCTACTAACAATGTGCTGACCTTATACTTTTATGGCTTTACTCCTTATGTCAGGCTTACTGCATTATAAGTAAGGTTTATTATTATTTTAACTGCCTGATTTGAAATGTAATCATCTTGCTGGCTGGCGCTAGAACAAGTGGAAATCAAATGAGTACATTCTGAATGTGTCCTAATGCCACAGGTTTGTAGGAGAGTCTGAAGTGTAGATACAGAGCATTTAAGCCTGCCAGTAAAGATGGCTTAAATTTTAAAAAAAAAGAGTGAAAACTCATCAAGAGTTTGCTGTGTTTTCATGTTTGTCTGCAATGAGTTGTCCATGTGTTTGCATGTTTTTATACTGACAGTGTGTTACTGGTATTAACATATGATACCCATTGTCTGTAGTGACTCAATCTCTAGTGTTGGCTCCGTTGGACCAGAGGATGTGGGAGAGGGCATTCGTCACTGGCTGGGTGTACCTAGAGCCCGATCTCAAGGAGGTAGCTCTTTTTATGACACTGGTAGTACCATGAGTGGACATGGGGGGCGCCAGTCTGTAGCGGACACTGCTAGTACCTACAGTTTCCGGTACATTCTACATTACATTTTAATCTATTTTGTATGTAAGATGTAATAAACTTACATCTTACATTATGTTTCTTTGTGTTAGTCAAGATGTTTTCTTATATTACGCAGCTCCTGTGTGGATCTTGATGATGAGGGCTCTGAGGCAAGGCCAGGTAGTCTCAATCTCAGTCGAGCTCCATCTTCCTCTGCTCTATCTGAGCTTTTGGATGGTCTTCGTAAACGTAGGGGCACAACTGACACCAGCGATGGGGCTGGCAGCACCGCATCTCTGCCTATATACCAAACAACCGCTGCATCCACTCTGAGACGCAGAGCGTCTGCTCTATCCCTCAGTCCTGAAGATGCACAGGAGCCCCGGCCAGGCCCCAGCATCCTGAAGTCCTCCTCTCCCCTGCTGCCACGAGCTGCTAGTTCGCAGTCGATTGGTGAAATGACTTCTGGAACAAAACGATTCAGCTCCAGTGATTCAGTCTCTTCTCTTCCCTCACTGCCTCGTCTTTCCTCTTTGGCATCTTCTCTAGCAGCTCACCACCTTTCTCCATCTCTGTCTATCCCAGAGGAGGAGGAGCCTCTGCGGTCTGTCTCTTCAGCCCAGCGCTCCCCACAGCCTCTCAGGCGTTGCATGCTGGGAAGTCTGGTCACAGAAGATGGTGGTGAGCACCCGCTCGGCTCAGAACCTTTGGTGTTTCAAAATCGCAGGTTGGCTGGTGACAGAGGGGATGATGCAGCCTCAGATATCCTGCCTGCCATCAGAAGAGCCCAGTCCACCAGCAGTCTGGTCAGTTCAGTGAGAGGGGGGCGCAGGGCACTGAGTGTACACTTTGGGGAGTTGCCTCCATCCATTCGCAGCAGGAGGTCCTCAGACACTGAGTCTTCCAGTTCAGGCGGGTCCGCGGGGAGTTCACAGGGCAGCAGGCCCAGACGGAGGTTTGACAGGCCTCAGGGGGAGAGACTTGAAGCGGAAGGCAGTGAGGGAGAAGATGTGGCTTCAGTCATGAAAAAATACCTCAAGAAGGAGGCAGACTGAACAGGTCGGTCTTCTTGTCTTCTCAAAAACCTTTATCTCAATCATTGTTTTCTGACCATCATTACATTCTTTCTTTGTAGAAAATGTTTACTTTCCATTTTAGAGTTTCTATCTGACTTATTTTTCTCTTTTACACCAGCCTGTACAAGAACCCATACCCAGTTGTGTACACTTTACAAAACCTCACAAAGTCCACCTGCTGCAGTCGAGGCTCAAAGAAGTCCTTTGAACGTCAAGGGTCTATTTTTGAGAATACATGTTAATAAAGATATTGATAAGTTTGTACATGAATAAAATGCAAAAATAATTTGAGCTGTCTACATGTTTATTTATTTACATTCATGTTTTTGCTTCTTTTTTTTTTTTTTTTTTTTTTTACATCAACCATCATCTGGCCGATTTTCAGCTGATGTTATCTGAGCCTATTAAAGCAAATGCAATTTGCATTTGGGACCTGTAAAAGCCAAAGCTACATTCCTCAAGCAGAGAAAGCTTGCCTCACTTTAAACCCAATGGATTAATGTGAAGGAGCTGGAATCAAACTCTGGTCTCCTGATTCAAAGTATTGGCAAATATTTATGCTACGTGATTTTGATATTTTATTCTTAAAAGTTCACTTCACTGCCACAAGGGAGGTGTTTTGCTTGGTTAAGTGAAGGTGGTATAAAATTAACTCACACTGAAAACATTGCATATACACTAGAGTCATTACTGTGAAATTTAAAGGAAAAATGAAATTATGAGTCAGCCACAACAAATCAATGTTTTCAGGCTCAAAGGACATTTATGTAAGGTATATGCAGAATTAAATTAAATTAAAAAATTGTACTGTTATTTTAAAAAGTAGAGGAGAAATAGTTGGAATAACAGGAGTTACTCCCCATTCCTTCAAAATTATGAAAACCCAAAATAATCATATTCCAAATGGTCCCAAACCATAGCTCTTAACAGCAAGTGAACAGTCTAATCAGTGAATGGCAATGGCAGCTATATTCCTTCAGTAAATTCACAGCAGCAAAGTACATCTTTTATTTTTTGTTTTGTTTTTGTAATACCATTATTCCCAAATGAATATAAATGATCAGTGATCTTTGATACAATTTAAGCGCCAAAAGTTACTTAACCGCTAATTATTTCTACATGGGGCTGCAATTAAATCATTATCACATGCTTTACTTGATTTCAGCTCTGTAAAACACTCCTGCACCCCTAATGTTAATTATGAAGCAATGTTAGCACACAACACACACAATTATATTGACGCTTCTCATAATAACACATGCATTGTCATTTTTTTATAGATTTTTGCAAAACATTTAAAATTTTATTTTTTGGGAACTTCACATTTAATTTTACAATGAAAATTATTTATTATGCCCTAGTACCAATCCTTGAGGGTTTTAATGAAAGACTGAAAGAAAAAGCTGTATCCCAAAGTTATAAGTGAATTATTGTCTTGTTTGAACCCATGCCTTTTGAGTTTTAGTCTCTGTGAACAGCTGTGCATTAGCTACTGTATGTCACATCAGGAGACTTTCTCAGTGATTACATCTCGGCAACGCGGCACAGAGCAGGAATTATAGCAAAGGGGCCTGATTATGCTGCTTGTAATTGCAGTATGATTTAGAGTGAAAAGGCTGGCAAACAGGGTTGTGCCACAAGACTGATATCGGCAACTGGACAAGCTCCTGCTGCTAAATGACTCCCATTAATATCCTGTTTATACTGAAATAGTTAAAAAGGGAAAATAAAATTTAAGTAAATGCATCGTTGTGGCTGGCTTTAATGGACTTGTTAGAGGCAGCTCAATATTAGAGATGCCTCTTTGTATAACATGGACAACAACATATGCCTTACTCACATTTGGACAATAGAGGAAAGAAGAAAGATGTATTGTGCTTTGTTGAAAAGCTACTATAATATAAAGAAGTACCTGTTTTTTGTTGTACATGCAATATTGTGTAAAGGAAACATACTGTTATTCAGAAAAAGGTGTTTACCTTTTGTTGTTACCAATTTGTATACAGTATATACAACAACTCCTGCTGCACACCATGGTTGTCTTTTCCTTAAATCAGTTTATTTTTGGTAAATCTTTTACTAAACTAAAGCATGGAAAGACATTTTTGCAGCTCTTCTTAGTTTATTGTGACCTCCATTGCACACAGATGCAGGAATAGAGTGAGGCTGGCTCAGGGCACAGGCTTATCCCCATCACATGTATCTGTGAAGACAACACACAACTGCAGCATGAGAACTACACAGCAGAATGCAGATAAAAGAGGCTGGGTTGGGGTAAGATGGGAGCATGGGGGATTAGGACAAGATGGGATGAGCAGCAGTGCCAGTGAAGCCTGTATACTGTAGGAATAATCATATCTGTCTCTTTCTGTGACTGTTGTCTGCTCAGATTCTTTGGTTATCATAGATAAGCGAGACAGCACACTCCTAACTCCAAACACGGCATGGGCTGTTTAAGGGGAAAATCAAGGAGTTGATTCATGTGAGCTCTGATCACCCATAGAGACACTGATAACAAAGACAGTTACTGTTACAGAGACTGCCTCGTCATCACAGTACACATTTGTGTTTTGTTTGAATGTGCTGTACAACATTTCCACAATAATACAGATTTCAGATTCCAAGTAGAATTTACTGCTCCCTCAGATCCAGGATAAATAAAGGATGAGAACACTGAGCATCTGTTGTAAAATGTTTCAGAATTCTTGGATATCAGGGATTTTCAGTGGAAAAACCAAACTAAATTATTTCTAATTATTATGAAGGGCAGACCCCTTCAAAAACAAGACAATAGTCATTTGAATAACCCAGATTGCCATGTGTATATTACCTTCAACACCTGGATTAGCTAAGAATGACATATTCTGTTTATCCCACATGATTTATAATAGACAGGCAGTTCAGGATTAAATTTGGGTTTATCAGAGAGTGACGCAGAAATACTGATGACTGATATGTATTGATATCAAATCAAAGTTGATTTGAAACATTTGATTTCTACTTTTACTTAAATGCCTGGCGGCAATGTTTGTTGTGTCTGTATTCTACCTCACAACAAATTGTAGGTAGAAAGAGTGATGTCTATAAACCTTTGGCTCCATGTAGATTCTGGAGCTTTGTCCAGAGCGATCAGCATTTGTCTGCCCATAATGCCAGTTGTGATCCAATGGTTTCAGATTGAGGTGACTGAAACAGTGAAATACAGCTACTTACAAAGATTAACAGTTTGAGATGAAATGGCTCATAAGTCAGGCCTCTTCTTACACTCCATTAATTTGCTCTAAGGGGCACTCAGTGATGTTGTTGGCATCAAAGTCATGCTGCCTCTCTTTGACTTAGGCTACATAGCCAAGACTTCGGTTTCATGATTGCATACTTGCATAAAAGATAATCCTTTACAAATCGACAGAGATGCCATTCCACAACAAAGATTGTTGCTGCCAACATAAAAGGGAGGGTATGTATCCAGTGCCCTTATTGTCTAAAAAAGGTACTCCAATAACAACTCCAGTAGCACATTTACCAGAGGATACTTGAAATTAATTCAGATTTAAAAGAAAAATTGAATTGAATAGTATAGTATTAGAATCTAAATATTCTTTGATAATTTTGAAAAACAGGAAATAGAAAAACACAGTTACACATTATAGGGGGTACTCAAGAATGTGAGACAGCAAGACAAAAAATGTCTTTGGGGGTACACAAGACAAAAATGAGAACCACTGTGTTAACCTACAGATAATGGACACATACAAGGTTTTCTCAGTATCTCATGGACAAGTCATTTCTCATGTGAAAGTTCCAGAATTCACTCACTGAGATGCAGTAGCTGCACTTGCACTGATTTATGCTGATAGTGAGTATTAAGATCAGAAAGAGCTCATCCTTTATAAGACTCATGCTTTCTGATTGGATAATCTTAATGAGAATCAAAAACCCAAAGATAACATAAAACTTCGGCATCTATTGAATTTGAGCATATTTACCTCTCTGGGGATACAGATGTATAACATTTGAAATAGTTCTATAAATTCTACATAGCCTACCATTAAAGAAACGACACTACTCTGAGCCAAGTGTGTCCATGACACAAGTGACCTACATACCGCGCCCCTGTAAGTTGACCAGTTGTACCATTGATGTGCGTTCTGTCACTTATTAATCATTTTATTCGCATAAGCGGTGATAGCATAGTACGTTTACATTAAGATCAGATCTTCCTGTCTAATAGGCCTAATTTAGTTTTGATAATAGCCTATTTTGATATCGAGGTATACAGGTCTATAGATTGCTGGAAGATAATATTGCTGGAGGCTGACTTTTGCACTTTATCATGAGCAGGTAGTGTTTTGAATTCACAATCTACAATGTGGCTCCCTCAGTTGTCCAGGTCCTTTAAAGTTGCAGTTATATTTAGATCACGTGACCATGTTGACAGGACGTGGGCTACAAGCGGGAAGAGATGCGAAAGAATCAGAATAGAGATAGACGAAGGGAGGGGGTGGAGAGAAGAGTCCGTGGGACTCGGGCGCAGAGGCAGACACGGTGCAGGCACACGGAGGAGAGGAGCTCTGTACACTCTGGAGCATGCCACGCTGACACTCTCTTCTTCTGTCGGACAAAGAGGACATTCTCCTGCCCACCCGGGCTCCTCATCTGTGCTCACCCGGGAAGCTGCCTCGACCGGCCACTGTAGCCATGCGATCGGGCGCCTGGTCGTTCAGATACGTACTTCGGAAGATCTTGTCCCCGGCGCTGTGGTTGGTGCTCCTGGGAAGCTGCGTCTCAGCAGGAGGTGTGTTTTCTTATATTTTTAACATGTTTTATAACCTTGTTGTTATCTTACGTACTCCGTGTGCGGATTGGCTCCGCGTGTTCTCAGAGGAAGAGTCGCATAAGTCTGGGCAGCCCTTTGAAGTCCCGAAATAACGCTGTTGCGTGCTTACCAGCGCTCATTCTGACACCAGCAGCAGTAGCCTGCATAGTCACACAGACACGTACTGCGAGAGCCCACGCTGACTTGCCCACTCGTGTGCGTGGGAGCTTTGACAAGTAGGATTGCACTGCAAGAGAGAGCTCACCTGTCAGCGCGCTGTAGAGTGAGCGAGAGAGGCAGGGGATTCCTCCAGTCTAAGCATCCTTAACGCACTGACACAGCCCAGTGCAATGGCAGACATTAGAAATGTTTTTAATACAAAAAACAAAACAAAACAAAAAAACACTGCAGCTAATGATTATTTAGAATTTGTATTAACTTCTTATACTGTAAAAATATTTAAATGGGCATTCATGATGACAGTTTTTTGCAGATCTGTTTTGTTATGGTGAACAACTCATTCTCCAGCCTACTGACCTTTAAGAGAGGGACAAATGATTTTATGGTACAAGTAATGTCCCCAATGCCCGTCTTTACCCTACATGATGATTATAGCCTACTTGCATGACCGGAACTGTCATCTAGCCCGTGCTGTTTTAACAGTGATTGATTTAACATATTGGCAGCAACCAGTTTATATTAGTAAAACCTAAAGGACCTAAACAGGGTGTGAAAAGATAGTCTGCTGCGAGCCCATGGAGTGCTGAAATCAAACCATTATTTCTGACCAAACCCACAGACATATAAACAATCCTGATCTATATTGTAAGTCATTAAATACCAATCAAGTCTACTCTGCATGCAATTTTGCATACAAATGGCTACCATCTATTTTAGTAGTCGGTTAATCTTATCTTTTTTTTTAACCAGATTAAGGCAGTCTTTTGAAATCTGTGTTTGGAGCTAAAGAATGTGACTGAGTGTGCTTACATTTTAGTCAACATTGTTGTTTTTGTAATATGTCCATGCCATTTGTTTGAGTTTGTGATGATAACTGTGATCAGTTATTAAATAATTTATTGTTAATTCATCACAATTAATCTGATACTTGTCACAGCCCAGATTTCCCCATAGAGTCTTCTCTTAGTGTAGCGTCTCTGTCCTAATGATTGCTCCTATGAGATCCACCTCAGGGATGTGAGTCTCAGGCCTGGCTCACAGTGTTGTCTTGTGTATCTATGATTATCTGCATTTGTCTAAGGTAGGAATACACTGATACCAATACAAATATCGGCACAGATACTGAAAAATTAGCTGCATCGGTTATCGGTTCCATGATAATGATTAAGCCAATACCCTGGTTTGGCCTTTAATTAGATGTAATATGACTAGTTATAGGCTAATTTTGGCCTGTAACAGCTCATGATGTTTGAACTTTTATTCATATGATACTGTTATTTATTTGAAGGATAAGTAACTGTTGCATAAAACAATTGGATCTCTTGTGTAATAAGTTACCTGTGTTTTAAAGTATCAGCAGATACTTAAAGTCAAAGTATGGATTTCGGAATGGAAGAAGCTGGATAAGTGCATCCCTAGTTTAAGGCACAGATAGTGGTCTGGTATCTGCCCAGTCACCATGAGGTTTAATTTTTCATAGTCTACTGGTGATAATCTTCCAGAAAGATGGTGAGGTTAAGACTGAACAGCTCCAACTGGGAAGTATAGCCCTCTCCAGTTTGCATCACTCTGCATGGAGCCTCTGTATTGATCCATGCTGACATTATGTTGTTGTCCAAATATCACTGAAGCACGTCCTCTTAATTTATGGGTTATAGATTTTTTTAAAGGATACATCATGCTTCAGTCTTGACTCGTACTTGTTTTTACTTATGTTAGTGAGAAAAAAAAAAAGAATCTTCTTCTTGAAAACCTTGTATTCAATGTGATATTTTGGGCTGTAGCATGATATTCAAAGAAGGTGTTGAGAGAAGACAATAAAAAATGACAATTTTTTTTGTGCTACATCTGTCAGTATGATGTGATACAGAAGAGGACATATAAAAAAAAATAATATTGTGAAATAGGATGACAGGTTGAGCTGTTATCAGGAGCAGCAGCAGAGACAGAGGCAGACACAAAGTTGGAGGTGACCTTATTCTAATCAGTGACACTGGGCCAGCCTCAGTCTCAGCAGCAGCTCAAAGCACACCAGGGCTTAAAGCAGGTTAACCTTTCATTTTCCTCGAGAGCTGCTCAGAATATAAGCAGCTGATTAGCACTATAACCAGGTGAGGAGGAGTATTTCTTATGAGGTACCTGTTAAGGGCATTTGGCTTTAAAAAATGTCTCAAAGTCATTTGATTAATTTTACACAGACTTTGCATGATTAATAGTTTACAAATATCAAAGATTTTAATAAGCCAATTATCCCCAGTATAACAACAGGTAAACAGTGCACTGGGAACTCTTAAAATGAGAATATTTATTCATTCTGTCCATATGCTGAACTTTACATAACCATAGTCATAGCCACTTATTGTACATAACAGAATAATACACTGACATCAGTTGCTATTTGCTCTTTATTCTTGCTTGTATGTTCCATTGTATATAACCATAGTCAAAGCCACTTTGTAGACTTATAGCTTTTCACAATTGTGCAAGATTTTATGTCTGTTGTTAAGCCTCTCAGTACTTCATTTTGATTTTGATGTCATGCTTCCTATTCTCCTGTGTTCTTGAAATTTGCATTGCAGCATTGTAATTTTCACATTTGGGACAAGTAAAGGTTTATCATATTTTATGTACAACTGTTAAAATACAGTTTAAAAACACCAGCAACAGCTTTGACATAGAATATGTTCTGAACATGTTCTGGTGCTAGGTTGTGAAAAGTTGTGTTCACTTAACATTAGCCAGTGGGGTGACATTTTAGACATTAGAAATGACACCTTGTGTAATATATCTGAAATGTATAAACCCCTATTTTATCTTATGGTCATGGCAACTACTAAAACAATACTTGACAATACCTTTAAACTAAATAATGATAATAATGACAGAAAAAATACTAATAAAAGAATTCAGTTATTATCAAAACATTCTATAATGTTATGATGTCACATGAAAGCAACCTAAGATGTAACACTGATCATATATATTGCTTATAGCAACAGATTGTCCTTAATGAAAAAAGTATATGGTTGCCTAATTGGTACCAGTATTCATGTAGATATAGTGTATTTTCATAGGTGGTGCATAAATTCATTGCACTTCACCTCAAAACTAGGTAGTGTTTGATGCTCTTAACTTATGACCATTAGATCTAGAATCTTGAATCTCATCATCCATCTTATCCACAGACATGAAAGAGTTCTGGGTATTTGAGGTTTGGTCCTTTCTTCATGGGACTACACAGTACGTATTTATTGGTAATTAGGTCTAAAATCTTGTGCAGTGCAGATGATGTGCAAGCTGCCATTAGTCCCAGTTCTCATTAGGACCAAAGTCTTCCACAGACACATGCATATGGTCCAAGATTCTGCAGTGAACTGTTCTAGCGGAGGCACTACAAAACCATAAATTATTTGGTTTTGTGTGACAGTATTTATCTTGTGATCACCTGGCACTAACCTCTCTGTGTTTTGGTGACATCAAAGGAGCATTTCCAATACAGAGGGCTACTGTGAGTATCTCTTTTGTGGTAGGGGCAGTCTAGGTCTGGGGTTTGTGTGGTTTGCGTTTGGCTGTACATTGCTGCTGCTTTTCTTAGAATCTGGGATTATCCTCACTAGGACCATGGCAGGATTGCACGGATGCTGCTGCGCCTGACACTTCTGTACAATAGAAGCAATTAATTGAAGCTTAACTTTGTCAACGTCTGTTTTAAGCCACGCTCTGCAGTGGAACTAAACCGTCTGGAATTTGCTTTCATCTTTGACCACTTCAGCTTAAATTTAAGAAAAAAACTTAGTCATGGCTTTCAAGAACAGGGTTTAAAGGGCATACAAAAAAAAAAAAAAAAGCACTTTTAATTCTGACCAAAATATCAAATAATACAATTGTTATTTATAGAAATATGCAAACTCTTTAGCCAAACTTAAGAAGGTGACTAAGAAGATGGTCTGTGTCTGTCTAGCAAGTCTTATAAGAGGTTAGTAATTCAGTAGACATTTACCTCAAAGATTATGCTAAGCCTGTTCTGTTCCTTACTTTTTGCCTTTGATTTTGATTCCTGACTGAAGTGGGTCTGTTGACGAAGCTGAGTTCATATGTGATAATCCCGCTCCATGTTAAAGCTCTGCACTGTCATTCTACCTAAAATGGTGTCTGTTCCTCATGCATGAATTGAGGTCAAAATAAAGTTTGAAATCACACAGAGCTATAAAGGATGACAGGGTAATCGGCCACATCATATTACTCACGGTATATCATTGTGTGTCACAAATGTTTTAAATGCCACTGTTAAGAGGTTTTGTCTAATGTCATTGTATCATCATTTATCTCAGTATGACACATTTATCTTTTATATCATGATAAAAATTTTGACCATAATGCCCTGTGCTACGATGGATGATATGATTTTGTTCCTCATGGCTCCGGACTGTAGACTTGGTCCTGCCTCACCACCACAGCTTCAAGTGGCTGCTTCTGTCACTCAGAGTTTACCGTTTTTTTCCCCTCCATTTCCCTTTGAGCCTTTGGAAAAACAGTGAAGCAGTGTGAATAAATTTATTACCAACAACAGCAATGTTCACCATTGTACACATACAATGTGCGGACTGAAATGTGTATATATGCTGTCACTTTTGTGACATCTTGCTGTGCAGTGTTCTTAATAATGTTTATTCTTTAATTCCAGCTTATTCCACTAATTTACACCCATTGGAGAGCATTGTATGCATACAAGTTTTACACAGTTTGGACTTTTTACTTGCAGAATATGTTATAGTATTTAATGCTAGATATGTCTCCTA